ATATTTTAGCTGGAAGCAAACAGTTTGAATCTGTTCCCATGAAGAAACAAACTCATCTAAATCTTGAATGGCCTGAGGGCGAGTAATTGTTTGGCAAATTTTCATTTTTGGGTGAATTCTTTTAATGATGATATAAAGAACTGGTTCAGATGGTGTGACATTAGGGAATTTACACTAAGGAAGAATTTTGCAAGACATTTTACATGCTGCTACAATATGCTCACTCTTTTACTTGCTGTTCCACGGTATGTTAAAATGCCGCTTTTGTAGCCTAGTGAAAGACAACACAAATAACATGCCGGTCAGACTGTCATTCAGCTCCACTATGCTTAAACAACAGGTCAAGTCGAAAAAATCACATACTGTTACTTTGACTTCCTTAAATCTAAGAACTCCCACATATAATCAATACTCAAATTGAATGAAGTAGTTAAAGTGCTCTGTAATTGGTATCAAAACACGGTTGAGCTAATTAGGCAATTGTTTCTTAACAGAGGTTGTGGGGTTATCTGAGGCAGTCCTGTTTTTATCGGTTATCCGACTGGTTTATTGACCTCATCAGCCACCACATACTGACAGGACTCCTTTCAGCTGAAATCCTATGGTTTCAAGTATGACCTTTTGTTACATGTCAGTCTTCCTCTCGGAACTCTATTCTTGGTCTTTAAATCAATACACTCACAAGGCTATAAATTCCCCGCCAGTGTCTGTTTCATTAAGTGCGTCTGATTCTCAGAACAGTGTATCACCTCTTCTAGTGAATCTCCCCCCAAGCCACACTTCAGCAGGCCACAAAATCAATCAATACAGTAATTAATGCAAACACGCCAGGTGTTCTGTCTAGAGCTGAGAACCATGAGGGGAAGTTAAAGGTTTTGTTTTATCTCCATGTAACACAGTGTGACTCAGAAAATAGATTATTCTCTGTCACTTGACAACCGTTGTATGTTGGATTGATTAGATATGGGCATGAGTGGGATGTCTGCATAAAAACATTCAGGCAAGAATTAACTAATTAATAGCAAGTCAGAATTATTTTGTCTCCATCTGTCGATTTTGCAAACCTTCTATAAGAATACAGTGTCGCTGTCCATGGTTCTGATGGGATAACCGGACACAGGAGAAACAAGGGGTCAGTGAGCAACTCAAAAGTTAGAGTCACATTCAGATCGCTGCTTATCGACCAGTTGTAATGATCTAAACAATCATTGATTGTGTAGGGGTGCTAATAGTTGACTGATAGACTACTTAATCAACATCGTCATGCTGTTCTCCTGGGCTGATTTTGGTCCAATGATGCCAAGCACACACTCTCTCTGTTTATTTGCACTTCCTCTCTGCTCGTTCTTTTGTTGCAGCAGATTAGAGTTCACACACCATTAGTCACGGTGGGGTGTTGTGCGCGGATCCCGCGCCGAGAAATCTTCTTTGTGTCAGGATCGCTTTGTCCCACCGCAGCGGCTTATCTCCAGGACGAACGCACAATTACTTTTTAACGATTTCATGCCGGTTCATTACGAGAGCAGGGGCTCGCGTATAGCAACTTATAAAAGGTAATCAGACATAATTAAGCTCGCACTGGTGCCTATCTTATAGAAGAATGCGGTCAAATTTCAGTGCCGTGACCCATGCTATTATAGACCTAAATACCAAGAGACCATTTTCACATTAGCGTCTCCCTATCTCCCCCTTTGTATATGAAAGTGGGTATGTGTTAAGATAATTCACAAAAATACCTTTGAAGACACTATATAGCACCAGAATCCACATTTGGCCCAAACTTTGTGTAATATATGCATTTTGAACTTGATTCATTATTGACCCCCCACAACAAATGAGAATATCTCTTTTAAAGCACCGCATGGTCTAAAAGCTTAATGGCGCTCTTATGGCGGCCTGTGGAAAGACATAGTGTGGAGGCTTTTATCTTTTTGTAAAATAATGAAAACTCTGGCAGGTTTAAAGAGACTGCTAGTGCAAGTATATTATCAATCTTGCAAGTGACAGCTTCATAGATGAGAGTCCGGGAATCTAGTGGTGTGGAGAAAACCAAACAGCTGTGCTTCTTTTAACCATCATTTGATGTTTTCTTTTCCCAGCCAATCATCCATTTTTCATCTAGGAGATGAATCTTGTCATCTTCTCAGTGTTAGGTATGATGTTCTTGAAATCAAAAGCACAAACAGGTTTTTGTTCGTGTACACACACACACGCACACATGCACACACCCTTTAAACGGTGCAGACTATTGCAATGCTTTTACTGTACATGTCCATTTGTTTTCTACTGAGGACATTCAGAAATACAGATCTGTGATAGCTCTGTTATTTTTCAGACAATAAATGAATACAGGTGGCAAAATAATTTAACACAGACTTGGTGACAGCTCAGCTCAAGTATTGTACGTAAAAGAATTATGAAATGTAAAATCTGGCCTTCAGTAAATACAGAGAAAATATTTAATGAACAAACATTTGATCATGAAAGGCTCTTTGCATTGTTTATCTTGAACTCCTGGCTACACTGTGTTCTCCCCAGTATGGATTAATAAAGACTGTTTATTGTGAGTATCCCTTGTCTCCTCGTTCCTCGCTCCTCACAGTAGGAATCGTGACAATGATGTCTTTGTGTACTTTTTAATGTGTGGAAGTTTTGATTGCATGGCATTTCAATGGGTGAAAAAAAAAACTTTATTTCATTATGAATGAAAATCTTATGGAACAAGGGTATGGTGACAGTTATTATCTACCAGAGTTATATATATATATATATATATATATATATATATATAGTGCAAACTACAGAGGCTTTAACAGAAAATACAACAAAATCTCCAAAATGGGGAATAAAATTGTCCAAAGGGGAACTACTGTCCAAAATAAATGGGGGGATCTAGTGTACTCAGTGTTCGGAAAGGAGGAGTCCCTCCACGCTCCCTTCCTGGACCCACGAGGACACCAGCTTGCATGCACGAGGAAAGAGGAGAGGCACGCTCGGCATTTAACAACGGCGGTGACAAGGCTCCATTCACTTCAGGTGTGCCTCATCACACGTCGCCAGCACTGGCTGTTTTTGCGCCCCTTCTCTCTCACACACCCACTCCTGTCGGGAACCTGGTGAAGGCCGGCAATTAAAAAGACGGTGTGTCGATGATAATTAAGGGGAGGCAGCCGTTCCATCACAATATACAGTATATATATATATATATATATATATACTTAATAGCAGAAAATGTTCTATCTTACAATGATTTGACAAAGAAATTGGGAAATACAGCATTTTATTGTAAATTACTGTTAAATCTTGTAAATTCTAGGTAATATTTTAGAGTGCAGAAGTGAACTTCTTCAGAGTTATGACTTCTATACTTTATATTGGCAACATCTGTTTAGTTGCCTACATATCGGATGTTCGCACACTGTATGCATTACTACTGCTTAGCCAGCAAAACCTATTGTAATTCAAGTGAGCTCCTATATTAAAAACCTGTTTTCCTCAAAACCTCAAGTCTCCAGTCAATCAATAAATTACATTCAGCATATTGTGTATGCATGATGGCATCAGATGACCTTTAAATGACTGTGCAAAAATAACCATCCTGAATTGATTGTATGTAGGGGATAAGAGGGTGAAGGAGGGAGTTATTTTCACATCTGAGACCATTAGACACCAGTTAGATGTCTGAATTACGCAGGGGTGAGAGGCAGATATACTGTAGACTCTCAGAAGCAGGACATCAGTAAGCAACAGGATCCAGATAAATCAGGTCATGCATTTGCATAGTTGCCCTAAGTGTGAATTAAAACCATTTTTTTCCTAAGGTGAACTCTACACTGTAAAAACTGTAGTGTGACTTCCTAGTGAACAAGCGCAGGAGTGTAGCTGTAATCTAATGCAATGCTGCTATTTTTGCAGATTAATTTTAGTGGCTACAGCAATTTGCTAGTGCTTAGATTTCAATCATGCATTGCGGCATGAATAAATTATGTGGTTGCATTTTTGTATAATGTGGTATTCTATTTTGCTGTTACTGTTGTTGTTGTTGTCACTTGTCACTGTTGTTGTCACTAATTAACTGTGATGTTTTGTTTATTTACTTGTCTATTTATTTTTAACCTAATATGTTTCTTGATTTTCATCATTGCTATGTATGTATGGAATTTGTGCACGCTTGGTTGAAAACTACAGCAGAACAATATCATCAGAAACAATAACTGTCTTACCACAATAGTATTTTATAGTATTATATATTTTCTGTTCTCATATGTACAGTATTGCAAGTTGCCAGTCAGCCTTAAGAGTCAATTATTTAATTTAGTTTTTGTTCCACATGTAACAAAGTGCAACCACACTGTGTTCTGAAGCACTATTACATCAACTGCATAGGGAACATTAATCAAAATAAATAAGGTCCAAGTTTCCAGACAAAAGGGAACACTAATCCCCAAAAAGCTGTTTACAGCAGTATCCAACATACATTACAATTTTGTTATGACTGAAAATGACCTAATCTGAATTGATTTCATAATCAAATTTTGAATTTAGTTGTAATAAATTACTGTAAATTCCTACAAAATATTGCCAATATTTTACAGTGCATTAATAATAATCTTGCATTAATATAGTTCAGGGTGATAAGCTAAAATTACTATAATTGCAACAGTATAAAATGGCTTAAGAATGTTTCAAAATCTTAAAAGTAGAATTAAGTCTACACACAGCAGATGTGTCTTGATGAAAACGCACCAAAGAGCATTAATGCATAACTAATGCAGCTTGAGTCTGTTCCGGTCCTTGCAGGAGACGCAGACCAAAGAAGACTTACTGTTTATGTGCTTTGTTTTAAATAAGCACGCCTGACTTCCCTAGCCTTGACAGAAGCGCGGGACGGTACGGCACAGTGTGGAAACGAACACCCTCTAGTGCTGATGAGCTGATCTTCCTTCTAGATCCGCAAACCTCACTTGGGCTTTTCACCTCAAGAACGCGTCGTGGAAGCTCTCGTGCCAGGTCTGTGTGCGTGCGCGAGACCTCTTGGACTGATTCGGCTAGTTTAAGCGCGTAATACAGGCTCGGGTCGACGGCACATAGTGTCATGAAGAGAAGCGCGTGTTAACGCATATAGACGGGGAAAGCCCGTTTATGGATACTGACGACTGGAGAACACACTTAGTCTAGTTCGTTATTTCAAGTGATTGCCTTACAGCATTAGGGACAACTTATCTCACAGTCTATATCCTATTTATGGGGTAAATTCTGTAAGTTTTTCAAGTGCCGCCGGTAGTTGTGCGTAATGGGTTGGCATTTCTGTCGCTCTGTATCCGCGTTTTCGCGGTGCGGGGAACGAGGCGGTTGACGCGCAAAATCGTTTACAATAGTTACATGAATTTTGTGACTGGATATTTTGTCTCGGTCTCTTTTCTTTAGTAACTGTCACCGACTTACGTGCACAACTGGATACAAAAATGACTTTTAAAAGATTTTTCTTCATGTTTGCTTTACCGGGATTGGTTTTGTCGGACCCCGGCCATTCAACCCAAGGTGAGTTAAAATGAATTGTGATTAATAGGTTGTTACTATATCATAACCTACTCATGTGCACAGTGGGTATGTATATTGTATGTATTGGTTGCAAAGGAGACGCTAATCGCATTCAGTCTTTAAGTTTGGTTAGAGCATTATAGATTTATATAACTGGCTAATGATCGACAGTTGTGCCAGCAATTCGGAATATCATAGTTTGTTTTTATTTGTGCAGGACAGATTATAAACGTTGTGTTTACTGTTATTCTGTAGTTCTGCAGCCAGTCTTACATACAAACTGGGTACCCATAAGGTACTGATATGATATTCCCATATGTGTCTGTTTCATATTCAAGTAGTTTAGAAATGTACAATTTGTCTCTACAACTGTAAATAAAGGTCAAGTACAAAGTGCTGTTGTTGGCACTGCCTGGGTGGGTTGTTTCACCAAATGAAAACATGCTTCTGTGCATGAATTTGTGGAAATCACATGCATCACATGCTCAGAAATACACTCCTCAATCTAAACCAACCTGCTTCATTTTATTAAAAAAGTTTTATTTATTCATAGGCTTATGGGAAACATTTTATTTCAAATAAAATTGCAAACAAATGCAGAAATACATACAAAGCACATGTTAACAATCTTTAAAACATGTGTGAGTGCATATTGGTCACTAATAATTGTGACGTTGTCCAATTTTGTGTCACCTTTGTGGATCCTGTAGAAATATATTGAAAAGTAGTGCTACCCTCCTTGTCAAATGCTTGTGTGGATGTTAGAACAAGAGGACCTGGTGGTTCTGATGATAAACTGATGATAAAAATGATTAAACAAACAAAAAATACATATTAGTATCTTAAGATGTACTAAAGGTAAAGTGGGTGTACGTTTTAGGGTACTGTCCCAGTGACAGGCTGTTGTACAGATTTGTCACTTATTTTTCTGACATTTTCATTAACATTCATTGCTATGATCACTAACAAAGCTTAAAACAAGATTCAAAATGTTACTTCTTACCTTAAAATTGTGTTTTGTCCAGTAAATCTTTTAGATTTTTACACAGAAACTTTTAAAATCACCACAGGAGAGAGCTGGGCATGATTATGACTATGGTCACCCTAATTTACTCACCCTACATTACAACACACCCGGGTCTCACCCACCTATGAGACGGGATTGCAGTGATGGTGTCTCATTGCACCTGCCCCATTTCCCCCCTGTGTGTGCCTGTAACTGTAACTCGCAGTGGTCATTCACGCAGGAAAATAGTTAAATGGCAGTATTTTGAATACGAACATTGCAAGAACAAGTGACTCTTGTGTTATGTCTGTGTGTGTGTTGCGTAAAGAGAGAGGAAGGGATCATATTTGTGTGGGATGTGCAGAAGAGAGAACACTCAAACCACCTGAGTTGGCTTGCACGGCATTTAAAACTTTTTATCCAGTTATGAGTCATCCTTATTTTTTTTCCGGAGCTGGGATGGAAAACGGTTATTTAACAGGTCACTGTTTTCTCAGTTTTAACCATCACAAATTAGGCAATAGATCTGGAGACAGTTCTTTCCAATGTGAATCTATAAAAATGGAAATTGAGGGTTTGCAGTTCACTTGAACAAAAGTCCCGTCTTGTGATTAACACTGATGCTAATGTCCAATTAGTATGCATGCAGAGACGACCCTACATAACCTCGCAATATATTTATCTATTGCACTGCCATATAAGAACAGTCTGCTCTTTTATGCTATATACTGTAGCATTAGAATCAAACTTCAAATGCTTCTCTTTACCTCATTTTGCAGGAACACTTTGCAGGACATTCATTGCAGAACTCTTCAAAGCCCTTAAAAATCCATTTAAACGAAGACTGTACTCTGAATAAGCTCAAACTTCTCTGCTCCTCGTACTCGTAGCCGAATCTCAAATGCCTCTTTGACCCTCTTGTAAAACCAGTCACTATTAAAACCACCATTTTGTGCTGATACTTGACGGACTGCTCTTGCCAATCATGCTCAACTGTCATCTTGCACCAAGAGAAACTTCAAAATGGGTATCAGATCGCTGTAAGATAGCAATGTTTTCAAGCTCTCCTCCAATCAGTCCAGAGTGGTGCTTAAGTGTTCTACGAGGGCTTTTTAACCTCCTTTTCTTCAGACATCAGTTAGGTTTTCATATATGCCTGTCAGTGGTCAAAATGGGAGATGATAAAGTGTGTGTTATCCCTTAGATGAATTGTACTTCTGTTTGAGAAGCAAAGAAACAATTGATGGAATTTATATCGCTGTTATACCAACTTCAAAACAAGCATTTTTAAGCCAATATTTTTAATATTAATATTATTAATATTTAATTAATATTTGTTGTTTATAGGGATGAAACGATTCACTCAACTCACGATTCGATTCGATTCACAATTTTTTTTGTCTTTTTTACAAAATGAGATTTAAGACAAATTATAAATTAAATGTGTCCTTTTATTATTGCAGATTCACTCTCTGCCAGCAGGTGGCGCTTAAAGCGTTCCCTTGGTTTCCGCTGTAAACAAAGCAGCGCTGCACTTATGAACTTTAATATGCATTATTCAGAGGCAAGATGACAAGAAAAAATACCATCTAAACTGTTCTAAAGACAGCAAGTTCCCCTCAGACATACATTCATATAAACTCCTACCCCTAAATTAATCGCGATTTGTTTAGCATCTCAACCGATTTGAATCGTCACATATTTGAATCGATTTTCAACCAGCTCGCGGTTAATCGTTACATCCCTAGTTGTTTATCATTCATCTAGCTCAAACAGTAGAGCATGACGCTAGCAACAATAAGGTCAAGGGTTCGAATCACAGGAAGTGCTTGAACTGATAAAATATGTACCTTGAATGTAATTAATTTTCTGTGAATAAAAGTTTTTTTTTCCCAAATGCCTAAAATGTAAACATTAAAAAAAAAATGCTTCTATTTTTATAGTTTCAGTTCAAATTGTAATTTTTGTTTATTCATTTTATCATGTGCTTTTGTCATTTTTATCAGCATTTTTCTATTCTTAATTTCAGTTTAGCACTTTAATTTAAACTTTTAGTTACACGTTTTCAGCTTGATGCAGTCAACATTTTGAATTTTTAAGTTTACGTTTTTCATCTAATATTTATATTTTATTTTATTTCAGCTTTATTTCAACTACTAAAATAATTTTTAATAGTTTTTGTTTTAGTTAACAATATAACACTGCTTTACTACTTTGCTTTTCTACTTTACAGTTATATGAGTTTGAATTCATTTTAGTTTCCTTACATTCATATTCGAATTGCAATTCTGCATACTTTTGCTACCTAATTTTAAATTCAGGAATTTAACGGGAATGTAAAAGTCATCTCGATTCACTTCTGAATGGCCCACAACTCTAGTAGCTACTGACTGATCTTAAGCTGTGTGTGTTTGTCTTCCATTCTGTTGCAGTCATGTGGCTTAGTCAGAGTCAGAGTTTTGTTCTTTTGTTCAAAGTTGTTCAAAGTTGCACTTTGTTGGAAATATAGGCATATGCGTCTGCGTCTCTTTCTCCAGAGAGCCACAGTTTAAAGCGTGTTACAGCAACGCTGAAGCTACACGGGTGTGTGTGTCAGGAAGTGCTATGTAAACAGTAATTGTGCACTGTAACAGAGGCCTGTTAATGCCCGCTGCCCTGTTTGTGCGGCTATCATTGCCGCGTGGAGTGCACTTATTGATTTTATAGACACTGTGGAGCCGAACCTCTGAGGTTTCTCTCTTTATACCTTCAACACTTCAATGGCTCTTCAAAGAGAGAGAAAGGAGCAGGATAAGGCTTTGTGCTGCCAGCAATGGAATTTATATGTGTGTGTATTTGTGTCTGCCTGTTTTCTTGTTCTCGTTATCAGATCAAGGTCATAGAAAAATCATCGTGTCATTTAATTTTGTCATTTTTGAATTGGTTGTATTGGTTCCACCTGTGTTGCATTGACACCCTGGACATGCGCCGTCCCTCTTGCTCAGATATTACATTTATTAAAGCTGAATAAAACACAGATTTGTTATAATGTAAGTAACAGAAGAGATGAGCTCTTTTTGCGTACTGTGGTGCACAGACCTGCTCGTGCAATGTGATCTTAGCCTTAACCCCGAGTGCCTCCTTTTCCTACTCCTCCACATCGTCTCAGACACACTAAATGCTCGGCTAAAGACCACTAATGCATGCAGCGCTGTCCTTATCAGCTCAATTTATCGCAAGCGTTTGACAAAGGGCCATTTTTCTCCGGTTGTGACATTCAAATTCCAAATGTCACCTTTCTCGTCTTCATCTCTCAAAAAAAAGAGAGAGAACATGAGTTGCATGGATCTAGGCTTTCTTGTCACACTCACGCGCATCTCTTTTTCTCTTACCAACCATTATTATCTCCCTGAGCCAAGATACAAAATAATTTGTTTAGATCATTTGGCTAAATGTCAGAGCTTAGTAAGCCAGTGCACACTGTTGGTTCTAGTCCAGAGTTTATGTAATGAATTTATTGTGGCTGATGTTTGGATTTTATACCGTAAAAAATATATATCTTCATGCAATGATAAAAAGTGCTAACTTTTTTTTGTTTTTTATTAACTAACTTTTTTTTTTTTCTTTGCTAACTTTTTTTTTTTCTTAATAAAGTTTAATAATAGTGAATGGTTGCACACCTGATTGATTTGCCACTGGAAGAGTCCAGAGCTTAATGTCATAATACAAAAGTCTCAGGTTTTGAGTACTAGGCAGCATTTACCCATGAATTGGAGAATTACATCTGCAGAACTGACAACCACTTTTGCCATTTTGCCTTTGAGCAAAGCACTTAACCCCAGGCATTCAGTACTTAGCTTTGAATAAAATGGCTAAATAGCAATTACTTAACATTTTTCTGAAATTGATATATATATATATATTATTATTAGTATTATTATTTTTCAATGTATTTATTATTTTTCAATTATTTTTCAAATACACTACCATTCAGAAGTGGGGCGTCGGTTAAGTT